TTTCCGATTGTATCCAAATTATGGTGGAATACCGGTTGCTGCTTATTTTAACATATTAGGATTCCGAATTGGCAAATGTATTCCATCCAGTAAGATTGCCGGTTGAACAGCATTTAACCTGCGTAACAAATGGGCATTTTCCGATTGTATCCAAATTATGGTGGAATACCGGTTGCTGCTTATTTTAACATATTAGGATTCCGAATTGGCAAATATACTCCAACCGGAAAGATTGCCGGTTGAGCAGCGTTTAACCTGTGATCCAAAAGTTTCGATCTCTTATAATCAATATATGTAATCCATTGCTCTACAAGAAATATTTAATTTTTTCACATATTTCATGTGCTAGTAAATTTCAATTAACGATCATGTATCTGATATTCCAATCTTTCCAGCTAACAGTCATCAAAATCGGATATCCGTATTAAAAAGAAACACGTATATCACATAGTGCGTCTGTAAGGGAATTCTTCCCGCCATTTTTTTATTCAGTTATGTAACTCGTATACTAATAGCTCATTTTTATTACAGGACTACTAAAGTGGGTCAAACAATTTAAGTAATGGGTCATAGCAATTTTGGCGCGCTGACATTTCAATCACAGATAGATAATAATCATGTAACGCAAGCTGTCTCTCATTTTATTATTTATTCTTTAACGTATTATTATTACCAACAAATTTTACATTTTGCATTTTTTTACATGAATTTTTTGTTGGTCGCAGTATAGCAAATTTTTCCACATATTTTCAAAGTTCTCAATATAATAGCTGTAAAGCATGTCTCAATTGAAGAAATTATATAACTGTTGGTAATTTATCCCTGGAAGAAGAAAAAAATTAGGAATTATCAATAATAATGTAATAGCAAAGCATGAGAGCAACACTCACCAGACGATTCAAAATTCGTTTCTGAACCTCCCAGAGATCTATGGTGAAGTTATTTGGTGTATTCTGGGGCACACCTCCAGGAAAATTATTGAAAAGTAAATTTGATGGTATATCAATCTGGTAATTTGGCATTCCGGGATTCGTACAAGCAGTGTCATTAGGCCGAAGGAAGCCAGTGATTCTATAAGGTCGTATTCCGGTACTATTAATGATATCCATTGATTCTTGTTGAAGATGTGCTGTTCCGAACGAAATGATGAGATTTGGTGTTGTGTTTTGTATTGTTATCATGCGTACATTTGGTCGGTTTTGTGTAGGAACAGTTGTAGGAATCTGGTTATTGCGCAAATAAAGCATCGCAACCATTGCAACGGTACCATCTGACCGAAGATCAAATATTTTAATTGATAAATAAACTTGAATTAATCTGGTTTGTACAGAATTGGAAAAATATTCTCTCGACAAAGAATGCAAACTTCCAATAGACTCATATCTTCCCACTTCGATAATCATTCTTGGTTGCGGTACGCGTCCAGGTGCAGGTATACACCGTTGTTGTCCAGGTTGCCGAGGTGGCCAAGGTTCAACTACGACGTCAGAAATATACCGAGTGTTACGACTAACAGTAATATCTAGTTTCGGACCAATATCAAGATAGTTGCTCCAAGCTCCTATCAAACCAATCAAATAACCAGCTACGAATGTATGAGTAGGACTGGGCATTTCGTGTACGATTACTTCACCTTTAACTAAACGGATGTAAACTTTAAACTTTCTCGCTTCTGTTTGTAACTCGCTAAATTTTTCAAGTGATACGCCACTTAAAACTACAATTTCTCTTGACTTTGTATACTCTTCTATTGATTTCTTTTTAGCTGTACCCTCTTCTGTTGTATTCTCTTTTATGATATCCTGCTCAATAAATTGGAGCAAGGTATCTCTTGCTGACTTAAACTTTTCGTCCAGCGTGTTCAGTGTGTTTCTTGGCATTGTGAGAAAATTTATTATCAAAAAAGTGATTTATGAGAGTTTTTATATCAATCATAGAACTAGATTATGCGATTATGCCTTAATGGAGAAGTGAAATTGATTATCAAGCAGACCAAAAATTGAAAAACTAGGTAAAGTAAAAAAAAAAGCGAAGCTTATACGTTGCGCAAATTTCTCACATAGTCTCTCTACACCTGGGAATGAGTAGTTCACGTTGGTAGAAGAAATTCTGAACTTATCGAACCAGACTTAGAGCTTAACGGGACAGCTTTCAAAATTTTAGAAAATGTAGAGGTTTAATGACCGGGACTTTTTCAAGAAGAGCAAGAACATCATGGAACGAAAATGGGACCTGCGACGAGACTTGCAGACTTCGCTAAGGAGTATACAGAGAAAAAAATTGAGGGCCTTTACCTCGTACAAGAGTTTGTGAGAATGAGCATAGTAAAGGGAAGGTAGTTGGCCGATGCATAAGGGTTCTTACTATATTAAGTGCCAGTCCTCACCACGTGAAAAATAAATCAAAGTGCATTACCTGAGAATGCTTCTGGAGAAAAATTACCCGATGTAAATATGAGTACGGTTAGCAAAGATACTCCATCAGTCAAATCACTAGTGTACCATCAACATCTTCCTCTGGTCAAATTAGTAAATCTAACAAATCCAGACTTCCGATTTCTATTTTACCTGATGATCCAGAAGAAAAACGAAAACATATCATTGGGTTGGTCCTAGAGCAGTTTCCTTATCTATCTTTAAACGATAGTGATGAACGTGCTGACAGATTTAATCTTAATAGTTCAACACTCTGTCCATTATGTAATGGGGATCATAAAGAAAAAAGTATATGGCATGATATAAAAGGTAAATGGGGTGCTGGTGAATATTGCGGAGAACGAACTTATCGTCTCAATTGCAGGGATGCTCTTAATCGTGGAATCCCAATAGTATCTGTAAAAGCATAGAGGGCGAAAACTTCGTCATGTGGATCGATCACCTGAAATGTGCAGTATGATTTCGGGAAAATTCTTGCCAAAGAATAGGGGCTGTGCGAAGCGCATATATATTCACATTTCTAACAAAAACCGACGTTAAATCATTTCTTCCGAAGGTTCCAGCATACTCACGACATCACAGTGTGAAAAAATACTGGAGACGAAGCCCCCGGACAAGACATTGTGCAATTAGGGTGGGAATACTTATTTCGTTCGGTTGTGGGAGTACATTTACAAGGAAGCGTCTTCAGAACTGTAAACTAATACCTAGCTAATATCTTTTCATTCCAGGGTATTTCAAAAATAATCAGCCGTAAGGCACTTCGCATGTATTTTAGTCTGCAGACATTAGTATAGACGTCATGT